CTCCCCTTTTGAGGGCGAGTAACCACACGTCCCACACACACACACACACACACACCACACACACCCCCCCCCCACACACACACACACACACCCACACACACACCACCCGTCCCCCACACACACACCACCCCCACACACACACACCACCCCCACACACACACCACCCACACACACACACCACCCACACACACACACACACACACCCACACACACCCCCCCCCCCACACACACACCACCCACACACACACACCACCCACACACACACACCACACACACCCACACACACCCCCCCCCCCCACACACACACCACCCCCCCCCACACACACACACACCCACACACACACCACCCGTCCCCCCACACACACACCACCCCCACACACACACACCACCCCCCCACACACACCACCCCCCACACACACCACCCCCCCACACACACCACCCCCACACACCACCACCCCCACACACACCACCCCCACACACACACCACCCCCACACACACACCACCCCCACACACACCACCCCCCACACACACACCACCCCCACACACACACCACCCCCACACACACACCACCCCCCACACACACACCCACCCCCCACACACACACCACCCCCCACCCCCCCACACACACACCACCCCCACACACCCCCCACCCCCACCCCACCCCCCACCCCCACCCACCCCCCACACCCACCCACCCCCCCACACCCACCCACCCCCCACACCCACCCACCCCCCCACACACACCACCCACCCACCCCCACACACACCACCCCCCCCCACACACACACCACCCCCCCCCACAAACACACCACCCCCCCCCCCCCACCACCCCCCCCCCCCACACCACCCACCCCCCCCCACACCACCCACCCACCCCCCACACCACCCACCCACCCCCCCACACCACCCACCCACCCCCCACACACCACCCACCCCCCCCCCCCACACCACCCCCCCCCCCACCCACACCACCCGCCCCCCCCCACACACACCACCCGCCCCCCCCCACACACCACCCGCCCCCCCACACACCACCCCCCCCCCACACCACACCACCCCCCCCCACACACACACCACCCACCCCCCCACACACACCACCCACCTCCCCCACACACACACCACCCACCTCCCCCACACACACACCACCCACCCCCCCCCACACCACCCACCCCCCCCCCCACACACCACCACCCACCCCCCCCCACCCACACCACCCCCCCCCCCCACACCACCCACCCCACAAGGTGTATAATGTGTCATCTGAAGGATTGCAGCACTCCCCCCACCCGACTGTATTGGAGTGTCGCCTGGAATGTCCTCACAAGTTCAATAGGTTTAATGTGGAGCGCTTTATATTGGCGTTCGTTCAAAAGTTTTGCATAGCGTAAGTGTAGCTGTTTAATACATCAGTACTGCCTACACAATGCAGAGTAGTCAGCTTTTGAAATATACAGTCAATTCACTTTACAGTATGTAAAGCGCTTTGAGATGTGGCAAAGACAAGGCCCTATATCAAATCAACCGTCTTTTCTCCCCCACATTCAAGCCATGACCCGCTCTGCCTTCGCTCACCTCCGTAACATTGCCCGACTGCCACTACCTCACCCCTCAGGCCACTGAAACTCTTCTTCGTGCCTTTATCACCTCGAGGCTCGACTATACAAAAGCCCTACTTGTCGGCCTTCCCAACTCCTCCTTCCACAGGCTGCAGATAATCCAGAACTCTGCAGCCCGTGCCCTCTCCCGCACCAAACTCTGTGACCCCACTCTCACCCAACTCCATTGACTCCCTATCCTTCAGAGGATCCAGTTCAAGATCCTGGTCCTCACATACAAAGCCCTCCATGGCCTCGCCCCACCCTACCTCTGCCACCTCCTAAACCCCTACCAACCCACAATCACGAGAATTCAACAGGTCTGCACTAGAGACCTAGTTTGTTGTTCGGAACGTCTTGGGAGGCCTAGAAATGACCTCGGCCCTACATCAGTGAAACACTTAACATTGAGCAAAACATTTTGAGCCTAAATCCAAGAATTAGGAGTTTGTCCACATTTTTTCTTAAAACGAGTCATCTGACGCGGACAGTAGAATGCCTTGGACTTTCTCCCCCGCCCCCCCTATTCTTAATCTATAGAAAAAAAATGACACGCACAAGCCTCTTTAGTCAATTTCTTTCTGGCCTTGTAAACACATTCAGAGAATCACATGCAGAAATCATGGCTAGTGGCTGCTATAAATCGACCCACCCAATCAGTGGAAAGCTTGGTAGCGCTCACCAATCAACTGCTTTAGGATACACACGATAGGAAAAGTGCTACTGCAAAAACAGGCAGCGTGTGAGAGGCAAGAACACTCTGATCATTTGCGGTGCAACTACCGCCAAGCATCGAAACAAGAGGGCAAATAAAATGCCACGCTGTGCAATACTCAATAACGCATCATTGCATTTAGTCTGGCAAACACAGCTCTGTACTCTCTCGGCTATTACTATTACCAACCAAAATGAGCACTTCATGACCTACAGTGTCAAATCAACTATTCTGATGAAGATAATAAAATAATAATCCTTGCATTTGATATAGCGCTTTTCACGTCGGGAGGACGTCCCGAAGCGCTTCACAGAATATACTGTAAAGTGAATTGACTGTATATTTGTGGGTGAACGCGGCAGCCAATTGCGCACAGCAATGTCCCACAAACAGTCGTGGATTGAAAATGACCAATTTATTATTTTTTTTTGGAGGGATTATTATTAGGCTCTGTGTGGAGTAAGGAAACTTGCCCAAGGTTTCGCCCTACCTGGAAGATAGCAAAGCATCTACAAAGGAGAGCTAGAAAGGTATGCCCGCTGGCTGATAACTGGCAAATGAAACTTAATACTGACAAATGCAAGGTATTACATATAGAATCCAAGAGTGAGTAACACAAGGACTCCATGGATGTGCCAAGGGGGGAGCTGAATGAGATCTAGAGGTGTTAGTTGATTTGTCGCTCACTCTGTCAAAACAGCACGAGGCAGCAATAAATAAAAGGCATATAAATAAAAAGCAATAAAATTCTTACATACATAAGAATAAGAACAATTAGTGCAGTTCCCTGCAAAGGTGAGCAAAGCTGCTATTTTCCATTATATAATTAACCTTTATCATGAAAATCACAGAAACATGTCCCTATGCTATCTATCATCGCTCTTTCCCCTATATTTCAGTATTGGCCCTATGGTTCTCTTAAAAAATCCACAACAAAATAATTATAGGTACACAGACAGGAGAAAAACAAGACTGCAGCTGCACTCGTTTATCAGTAGAACAAAAAGTGCTGAATCAATCACTCTATGGACCGCACAATGTTATTACCATGTGAATGCACTCAGTCTAACCTTAGCAATTACCTGCCAGTTGCTTCACCCAATTGCATTTTAAATGGAGGAGTTTGCAGACAGATCCTGGTTCAATTCTGGACCCAAAAGCGGTTTTATGTAGAGCATGCCGTCCTTATGACGACTATTTTTTTTCCAACAGAATCCTATCCATACTGATGCCTCAACTTTATCAAAATTAAACCAAGCATCCACGATGCCCAAAATCTACACGTGCAGTATCTTTCTCCTACCCCTATCCTTCCATTATAGAGCTTTTAAATTCAGTCTGTTTTGTGAAGTTTTTTCCCCTCTATTGTATGCTGTATATTTTAGCATTCTGATAGAAAATTGCCCATTTACAATAATTCTGAAAGACAGAATGCAGCATTTTCAGGTGTTAAATCACTTCAAAGAACAGAATAAATCAGTCTTCAATTACCTGATATATATATTATGTATATATAGCACACTCACAGATCAAATCATTTCCAAGTAAGGTCATCTACTTGCTCATGTAAAGTTCAGCATTTAACACTGAACTTTTGGATGATCCTTAGAGTGCTTTAAAGTATAACCATACGCATGGGCTTGACCACCTTCTACCATAGTTAAATTTAAACTCTTTAACAGCTTGAGTTATCCACAATTTATCTTCCCAATGTAAGTAATTGCACTACATATTTGGTCATGTTCAAATGAATGGATGTTCTGGTAAAAGTGCTGGAAATGCACATAAGATCACAAGATTTATTAGGTGCAATTAACAACAAAATGCCAGGAGGAAGGGCGACCCTTCAAGACATTGGACTTGGTTAAAAAACAGCTTGATGCTGTGCTGAAGGTACATTAGGGTGGGTATTCTGGAAGGATAAGATCAAATGGGCTGAAGCAATTCAAACTAACCTTGTGATTTTTATGAGCTGGGAGCTAACAATTGGGATCTTTGTGTGTCCAACACAAAATACTCTTCAAAAGATTACCTTTTTCAGACACCTAGCAATGCTGCTCGAAAACTGTCGATCTTGAGTGCTTCATGATGACCAAAGGAGAACACTGGGTTGAATTGTTTTTTAACACTTCCTTGAAAGATATTTCCCGCAAAGATATGGTGACGCTGACAATTCAACAGAATAAAGAAGGTTGGGTGATTAGCACCCATGACATTTGCACACCTACTGCAGATTTTCAATTGTGTTTGATAGAAAGGAAGCTTCTCTCCAACAAAAGCCACATAACATAAGGCTTCGGCTTTGCATCATTTATTTTCTTCATTGCAGACTTCAAGCAAGGTCCCTCTTTGGCCAGACATTAGAAGGTGCATGACTGCCTCCTGGTGGGGACAGATGTCCCAATTTTCTCACCTTCAAACACTGATTATTGATTAAGACAGCGTAGAGTGCTCATGGATAATAAGTAGTGTATATGTGACAATGAACCGTTTCTAAATAAACGATGTAACACTGTGAGAAAGTGGATGGATAGCTATAATCCTATCTGAAATGGTGACGATGCAACATGTAATATTCCACAAAAATGATGCAATTAATATTAAATTGTCACAGATACAGTATAACAAAGCCATCCATTTATTAATTAAAAGAGCTATTGATTAAAATAAATGAACTATAATTACATACTGTATATTTTGTACGTGCTATTCCTCTGCACAGCATGTATGGTCAGTGTCGGCTACCCTGTTTTTACTGCTGCTTTACTCAGATGTGGACAGCAGGTGGCATCGTTCTGATGAGTAAAGCATTGCTGTAATAGATTAAGGGCAGAGTTACTCTAAGAGTTATTAATTGACTTCAGCCCTAAGGTTGACGTGATGGGTGATTTCCCCCCCCCACCCCTCATCTTCTCCCTACTGTATTGGACACAACGCTGACTTTCCAAAGGAAAAAATAAACACCATAAGCTAATTTTTAAGTTTGGTTGCTCCAATTTAAAATGTGCCATACCATAACCTGATTTTTTTTTGTTCAAGCAAAAAGCAGAAATGAAGCTCTGCAACTTTTACCACATCAGCTGAGTTTTTGACTCAATGAGAGACAGAGGATCAGTGCTCAAATGAAAAGCTTTCAAGGTAGTCCAGCCATAGGTGTCAGCCTGGCTCAGTTGGTAGCACTCTTGAGTCAGAAGGTCATAGTAGGTTCAATAACTTAATGGAGCTCATGAATGTAAAATGTAAAGCTCATACTTTCCATCACCTACTGTATTCCACTGTGCTAGTTAAACACAACACAACTAAATCTTCACATATACCTCAGCAATCTAACAGTGTGAAAATGGAGGAGCAACGGAACACATTCTGAAACCTCATTGCTATGGGAACCATTTTGGTCATACTCAGCAATAACAACCGCATCAACTACAGTGACGCCAGGCAAACAGTACAAAACATGAGTAGAAAGAGGGGAGAAAAGAAATCAGCTTTCAAATTCACTGCTGTATATACAGCAATATACAGTAAGTCTCATTGCCATTTCACTTTAAGACAATCTACAGATATTCAATTATTCAATTAATTTAATACTTCCATCAGAAATATGATTGTTCACAAGGGTTATTAGAAGTTATTTTACTATAAAGTTCAATCACTCACCTTTAGGCGTCATAGTTATCATTTTTCAAATGAGGGCAAGACTCCATATACCATGAATACGGGGAGAAATGCAGGATGGGAAATCAATGGTGTATGTTTGATTTTAAAGAGCTTTTAAAAATCAAACGTCGTCTAAGACTGAGACCTTGCAGAGTTACATTCAGTTCTTTCAACCAGAGGCGACATCTTATCCAAAGTTCTGTGAAGAAACCCGCTGATTCTTTAAGATTTCACTTGCAAATCTGGAAAGAGATTAAAATTATGAGGTAATGTTTAGAATTCTTCCACTAGATTAAGATGAACATACATTGAACCAGAAAGGATGCCTTGTGCACTGCAGGTAGCAATGCCTATACTATAGTCAGGGTCACCACTGCCTCCGGAAGCGCGAGCAGAAACTACCTCTTAAGAACTATAGGAACAGGAGTAGGGCACTTGAACCTTTTCTGCCATTTCTCTCACTTTTCTCCTTTTGTTAATTGCCTCTACAATAAATGTCTTCTGTATCTATGATCCGCCACTGAAGGCAACATATTGTCTTTCCAGCCACTGTTGCCGAACATCAGGATTTACACTGGAGAGGAAGCACTGAAAGGCAAACACACAGTAAAATTTCCCCAATACACTGAGTAAATTTGGTGCCAGAAATGCATGTTAAATGAGACATCAACACTACCTCTGAAGGCATGGAGTAACCATCTTTAGAGATGCTTTCCTCCACAACTCCAGAGGGAGCAAGGTAAAGACTATCTCTTATTGTTTCTGCTGGCACTGCCCACCACTTCCATTACACCCCAATTCTCTGGAACTCCCTATCTCAATCCCTCTGCCTTGCCCATCTTCAGATCACACCTGAAGACCTCCCTCTTCGTCCAGGCCTAGGGTCACAACAACGACGACGACTTGGATTTATAAAGCACCCTCCACACTGAACGGCATCTCAAGAGCGCTTTACCACCCCTCTCTCCCCAGCTTGGCGTCAAGCTCCGCCACTTATGCATTCCAAGATACTACTCACGTGAAAGATACCATAGAAATACAAGACGCTGCTGTTTAACAACTTTGAATCAACATTTTGAAAACAACTTTGAAACAATTATCTTTGTTGCTACCATTTCTTGACCATATTTGAAACAGCTCCGCCTTAAAATAGCCATAATGTTACAAGTCCAACAGCAATCATTTTCTTACTGATGCGCAGTTCGTATCTATCTTGTCGTGACTGCTGTAAATGCTAAGCTGTAGATTGCCTTATCAGTCTGCCAATTGATTGCCAGGCTCGGAGCTAATTGAAGTAAACATTTAATTTAACTAAATGCTTTTAAAATTTAAAACGAGGACAGCAATTAGTTCCCTCAGTAAAACATACAACTTACATACCTACAGCGAGAGCCTATACCAAACCTTTTCACCCTACTATCGGTGTCAGATTCCACCACTGTCAAGCGCTCCGGGACTTTACCCCACATGAAGGGCGCTATAAAAATGTAACTTGTTGTACTACTTTGTGGCAGTTCTGTGANCCCCCCCCCAAATAGTGCAAGGGCCAACAATATAACCTTTTATTATTCCAACAATTATTATAAGGGCGGCTTCAAAAACTTAAGGCAAAGGAAAGATAGCAACTACTTATTTAGAGACTTGCCTGATTTCATTTTTTGTAAAATTTAGATGGGTACAACTGAAGTTTATTTTACTTTAATTAGTTTCAGATTTTGCAAGTTTTTGACCACAAAAATGGCGGAGGCTGTGGCTGGACACAAACACCACCTCCTGCACGTAGTACCATCTATACTGGGATACGATTCCATGGGGATTCGCCACCATCCAGGACTTCATCCAATAGGGAAACAGAAAGACGATTCAATAGTCAGTCTTCATCCATAAACCTGGCCAGCAATGCTCGACTATGCAGGGATCACAACCATGCTCAATCCTGTCCTCACCCAACATCCACAAATGCTCTTTCCAGCAGATTGGCTAAATATTGAGCCTCCCTACACCAACAGCTCAGATGAACTGAAGTGCTCTTAGCACAAATTAAGTTTACTGTCCGACAGTATTCTCTGCAAATAGGCACTGAACCATGTGTTGCAATGCGTCCCTTTTCTCCACTGGAGTGTGCCATTGTTTCTAACTAGTCATTGCAGTCCAGAATTATATTGCCACAGTGATTGCTTAAGCACTACCCCTCTGCTCAGACGTCAGCTACAAAAAAAACAAGATAGTCATGTGCCATGGTATCAAGCTCAACATCTGACAAATTAACACATAAGAATGCACCAGAGATTAGTAACATTAATTGATATTCTCAAAGGTATTGCAAATAAAGGGTGTTTGTATTTGATACAAACTCCTGGGACATAAGTTTAGTTTCAGTCAATTTCTAAATGCAAGGGTTCATTTAGAAATAATTCAGTAAGTCTAATGTCTCCGAACAAGATTTATCCTGTTGCTGCATTGATTGGCCCGTCAGCAGTTGACGACTAACACCATTTTCGTCACTCCAAGAACTGTTGACCGATAACATGGCAGTTTACAGATAACACAGCAGTTTTCAGAGGTAGAACTGTTCTGACCTCTCTTCATACAAGTCTGCATGACATTTAGTGTAGCGCAAGGCTCACAGCACAAAGAAAAGGCCACATTCCTCCCAGAATAGGGCTAAAAGATCACCGTTGGCTATTCCTCATTTTAAATTTAGCTCCACAACTCTTGCTGACAGTTTTAGATTGCAGAAATTATTTGCTGTCTGATGTCCAGAACGAAGAGCTAGTGTAAACATATCCCACTGGTTCAGGTTACAATTCTGAATTGAAAATAACTGAAATAGATTCAATCTTTATCATCCTTGAAAGTTAACAAATAATAAATTAATGAGAAGCAGTGGAGACACATACACACATGTGTATGAAAACAAGTTCTATATGGAGATAAGAATCCTAAACTAAACACGTAATCTGAGCAAACAGGATGACGTTGTCCACACAACTTGAATAGTGAAATTTAGATTGGAAACAATGCCAAGAGATATTATAAACATAAAAACAAATGATTCTTGGACTGAAGCTTTAACTGTTGTCTTTGAACTGGTTCTGCATCAGCATTAAAGTAACAAAGTAGACACATTTTACAATAAAACAACCTGAGCAATATTGTCCATTAAAAATATTTTAAGACACTCAGTGTACATGTCACAAGCCAATAATTTATCCAGTTTCTTTCAGGAGTCAGAATGACTTTCATATTAACAAATGTAAGGTGGGCAAAATGTAACAAATATTTGGGATGTCTAACAGGATACAGTACTGTAAAAGCTTTGTTAAGTAATAAAGGAGATTTAGGTATAGTATTATAGCTATAACCCCCGGGACACTAACTTGCTTTGAAGGGCACGATATAAATACAAGTTGCGGTTGTTATTGCATCAATAATTTGGAATTATTAATTATAATTTATTATTATAAACTGCAATTGTTACTGTGGAAACAGATTAGCAGCAAACTTTATATACTTTTGAAAGATTATATTTCACACCCTGTCATCCATGCCTTCCTGATTTCTTAACTCAATCCACAAACTAGTTGATTACACCATCCTAATAATATGACCTTTGAATTCACAGAAAATGTGTCACTCCCTCCCACACAAGGAACTTCCCATTTTAGCCAGGCTCTCGCGCAAGAGGGAAGGAATAAGCCACAAACTCACTCCCTAATGACTAGTTTGCAAAATCTAGAACAGAGGCTAACTTGAATAAACAAAAAACAGTTGATGGAGTAAGTATAAAGTTGTGCTAAGTATAAAGTTGCCCTACCACGAAGTTCCCCCAATTACAGTAATAATAATTCATAATACTATTTATCTCAATAATAGCTCTATTTATCTATTAAATATAATAGAGACCTGTAGAGTCTTGTGGAGTCCTGCAGCTCAGTGGTTAGAGCACTTGCCTCGCAAGCAAGAGACCTGGGTTTGATTCCTGGTAGGGCAAAATATTGGGCAAGTTTCCATACGCCACACACCTGTTTATCTAGCAGTAAGTAGGAACCCAGTTGTTAGTCAGATTCCTTCAGAAAAATAATAATAATGAATTGGTCACTTCAATCCACAACTTTTGTGGGACATAGCTGTGCGCAATTGGCTGCCGCATTTTGCCCACAAAATATACAGTCAATTCACTTTACAGTATATTCTGTGAAGCGTGTTGAGACGTCTTGAAGATGTAATAAAGCACTATATCAAATACAAGGACTTTTATGATAAACTTTGCATTTGATATAGCGCCTTTCACACTGGGAGGATGCCTTATGCTTTACAGGATATATTGTAGTGTAGTGACTGCATTTTGTAGGCATACAGCAATGCCCCATGAATATCCACTGAAATGAATGACCAATTTTATCTGGGAGATTGTGGCCAGAAAACTGGGAGAAACTCCAAGGCTGACAACTATAAATACACAATCAGCATAATGTAGATAGTGATACTGCATAATGGATAAAACTCCACCCTTTAATACAATTCTGAGCCAAGTCTTTGAGTTACAACCCATGAATGTATATTGTGTATATTGCAGGTCAGATTCCACAGCAGCTGGAATATACAGAATATACAGGCGGCGTCCCTGCAAGGTTTACACTTACAGTTCTCAACTACGTGGCTGTTGCCTGTAGCTTTCAGGATACCGGTGAACTCAGTGAGCAAAAAATACGGCTACTTTCAGAGTGGCCACAGAAATCCTCTGAGATTCAGAACCACAAATTTCAAAATGCAGCTACACAAGTGGATAAGGTTATAAAATAGCCAATGGTGTCTTGGGCTTTATAGCCAGAGGAAAGGAATATAAAAGTGAGGAAGTGATGCTGAGTTTATGCAAAACCTTAGGTAGACCACATTTGGAGTATTGCGTCCAATTCTGGTCTCCAAACTATAAGATGGATTATAGCAGTGATGGAAAGAGTACAGCAAAGATTTACAAAAATGATATCATGGCTGATAGGTTACTGCTATCAGGATAGGATAGATGGGGGTTTTTCCACTGAAGAGACGTTTAAGGGGTGACCAAGTCAAAGTGTTTAAAATTATAAAAGGGTTCATTCAAGTTTTATACAAATAGGCTGTTTCCACTGGTTGGGAAGTCCATAACCAGTGGACATAAATATGTCTAGGGATCTAAAACTACTTTACTTGTTAGAAATAGAATTTAGGAGGAACTACTTTAGGCAGATGGGCAGTGATA